ATTTACCTACGTTCATCCATTCTAAGAAGTTTAACTAATAAAACACTGTTATTTTATTGTAAATATATGGAAAATCAAGGCCAAAAGAAGGGCTATGACGTCACAATGGATACGCAAATGAGTCAATTAACATAATTAATGCTTGCGGTGAAAGAACTTATTATTTCGCTTCTTCTGATACCAATAATGCTAAGATTGCTTAAAAACAAAGAAAGTTACAGTCCAAAACGTTTTTATTGCCTAAATTACTGAAAAGTTCACGGTAACCATGGCAACGAGTTTTTATGTTATTCTTACCAACATGCAGCCTTCAATATCAGTATATCCGAAAAGCCGACATACTCTTGCTTGTATTGGCACTATATTTACCTTCTTTTATCCATTTTTAAGAAGTGTAACTAATAAAACACTGTTACTTTGTTGTAACTATATGGAAAATTGAGGCCAAAAGAAGGGTTATGACGTCATAATTGATATGCAAATGAGCGAATTAACATTATTTATGCTTGAGGTGAAAGAACTCATTATTACGCTTCAGCAGATACCAATAATGTGAAGATTTGTTAAAAATCGAGAAAGTTGCAGTCTAAAATGTATTAACCACCAAGTAAGAAATTTAAAAAGTGGGCGTGGCTTTTGCGTCCCGTTTCCATAGTGATCGGCCATTTTTCAATTTTCATTATTGTCATTTTTGAAATCTGCATATTCATATTATGAAAGTCAGGTATGACTCATGCGGTTGCAAGCTATCTTAATTAAGGTCAACAAATAAGGCCTTTTTGCTGGATCTCCCACTCGCCTATATACTTATTCTCAACTGAAGACATTGAATTTATCTCTTAGGTTTTACATTATAAATATCTTAACATGCAGAATACGAAAATAGAGGCTTAGGCCCAACTTTGTATGGATTTTATGAAAATAATCTGATTTTAGAGAAATGAAAAGAAAAATGTCCACACCCTACACAAAATATTTATGGTTCCCCGGGAATACGTATGTGTTGCTTGTATATTAGAATCGTATTCCAGTTACAGAAAGAAGTACATATCATGCTAAACTATATATATATATATTTATCGTCTATTATCCTTTGACAAGTAGAGTAGAGAATAAAAATAAAAAATTTAAAAAATTCAAAAAAGGAAATAAGATTAATTTTTTAGAAAACTACTTGGTAAATGATAAAGCAGATATGTGCGGTCGGTTTGGATATGGGGTTTATCCCTCGTGAGATATGCACGTCTACCTTCGGTCCCTATGGTCCATCAGGTAGATATAGAGATTATCCTATCTGAGGTTCAGGATAGTGGGATTACCCCGAGGCAAATATAATATATCTGTCCGAGGGCCGCAGGTCCCGAGGGAAAATATATTTTATTCCATAATACTAACTGTTTTCCCAGGGAAAAATGAAGGAATTAAAATCGTATTGAATCGTATTACATGAAAAAAGCGTATTGTCCCCGGGAAAAAATCGTATTGGAGCGTATTACATGAAAAAAATCGTATTGTCCCCGTGAAAAAATCGTATTGGAGCGTATTACATGAAAAAATCGTGTTGTCCCCGTGAAAAAATCGTATTGGAGCGTATTGACCTATTTTTTAGTTTCCCGGTTATTTTATTTATTTATTTTATTTTTCAAACAATGTGCATTTATTAATATAACGTTTGCATTATCCAAATGTAACATTCTAGAGGGATGTATTATGGAATAAATAGGTTATTTCTGGTCAGGATTGAATATGGGTTTTATTCCTCGGAAAATATGATATTGACCTTGGGCAATATGATATTGACACTCGGTCGCTGCGCTCTCGGTCAATATTATATTACCCTTCAGTCAATATCATATTGTCCCTCGGAATAAAACCCATATTCAATCCCTGCCAGTAAATAACCTATATTTATCCCATACTTGGACGTGTTACGGGTACATAAAGCCGGTTTGTAAAAACTTATATTTTCATCAGCGGGCAGATAAAGCTTTACGTCCCACTCCGAGCGGGCAGATATAGTATATCTGCCCGCTACGTCATAATCGCTGTTCCCGTATTGGTTATTTTTTGTAACGTTCGCATACTGTAAACGACAATGGAGAAAAACGCAGACAATCGCGATCTGTGATTGGTATGGGATAAACAGATCATCCTATAGTCGGTTCAGGATATTTGGATTATCCCTTGGCCAATATATTATATCTTCCCTCGGGACCTACGGCCCTCGGGCAGATATATTTTATTGGCCTCGGGATAATCCCAATATCCTGAACCTCATATAGGATAATCTCTATGTATTCCATACCTGATGAGGTTTCAGGGGCATATCAACCGGGAATATATTCCATATCCGGCAAATATTTTTCGTATGTCCCGCTCCGACGGAGCTCCGGGACATATAAATCGTATGTCCCGCTCAAAAAAATGTTAAAAATAAATTTTTTTTTGAAAATGATAACATATTTTGCAAGTAACACACCAGAGCATGTGGGAAACATACTTAAGATATCATATTCATTCGTGGATAAAAATCATATCTCTCATAAATCATAGGATATCCTCTATATCCCATGGTTGCAATGATATAGATCGAATATCACATGATGATATATTTGATATGTGACCAAGATATCATATTTTAGTAAACAATTTACAAACCATCGAATATCACTTTTAAACTATCGAATATCACGTCTTAAAAAGTGATATTCGATGGTTTCGAATTTTTTTAAAAAATGAATTTTGAATATTTGATGACGTAAATCAAGATAATTTCTACTCGCATCTTGTCTATTCCACAGGTTTGGGAAAAGTTTACAGGAAAATCTCCATGTTCAATTGATGTATGATCAAATTTACAAATCGAATGTATTCTCGTGTGCATTACAATATCCACATTGAAACATTTTTGGCCTGCAATGGACGTATAATGGATTAGAATTTGAGGCCGTGTTATCATTCAAATGTAAAGTCATGGTATTGGGTTGCAAGTTAATATCAGATTCAATGCAAAGTAATCATTTAATATCAGATGCGCGATCAGTCCAATAATGTAATTTCGGGTCATTAGTTCGATATCTAGCAGTTGTTCTAACGACACGGTATTACTAGGCTATCGTGTTATAAATACACACACATATAAATAAATCAAACTGGTACACGATATAAGCACGACTGCTCTTTCAATTGAGTATAAATGTTGATAAACTTACCCGGAAGCCAACACATACACGTTTAGACGATGCTATTTTCAGTTCAGTGTAGGAGTAAATGCCCGGATATCGAAGCTTTTTCGTGTAAAGTTTTAACCAAGCATGTAGTATCGGGTTATATTGCGTGTAGAATTTATCGATATCAGGGCCGCTACATGCCAGTGTTTATTGAAGTTATGATATTAGGAGACATCTATTCAAAGGTCCGATCCATATATATTTTTTAGAATTCTTAAATGGTCTGATTTTAGACTTTTTCAGAAATTTTGGGCAACTCTCCTACAAAAGAGAACCAGTAGAAGATTGTCCATTCCTAATGACCTTTGGTAATTTTATCGAATTGAAGTGTTTGAAGGTTATTATATTGGTTTATTAAGTTGAAGACGATATAAAGAAATCGTATCGAATTGAAGATAAAATGGACGATATTGCACTTCTGATAAGACCTTTCTTTTCATACTGTACAATAATTCACCCTTTTACGCAGTAAAAGAATCAGGAATACACATTGAGCAATTATTTGTTTCTAGACTGAAAATGGTAGTATAGTTATGAGGAAAGAAGCCCGATTCTGAGTTGGTTATTTTAGAGCAGTCAATATGGTACAACGAAATTGGGACTTCTGCGCATGTTAAAATTTTTCGTCAAAACTCAACTTTTGTTCAAGTTGATACGATTGTCTTTCGAACTAGAGACTTACCTCATTCGAAAAATCATAAAAGACTTTATCTATACTGAAAATCTTAGATCCAAATATAGTAGAATACGCCGTCAGTCCGCATTTGATTTTTTGAAGTGAGTTTCGTAGATCGTCAGATTTCTCCGACTAATATCGGGTTATCTCAAATTGGTTCGTTTATAAATACGAATTTCTTTACCGTAGTAAGACACATGCGCAAAATTGATTTATAAACGTTATTGGTTTATGGTTTTTCTCTTGAGCATGCGTGAAGTCTGATGAACACTTATGACGAAGACCGGAGCAAACAGTACTAGCTCTCGAACGAAATTCCAAGATTCAGATCATTTCGCCGTGTTTGCTAAGCGTGTATACGTGAATGACAAGCTGTTTTGAGTAGATCAGGTACCTGTTTTAGACACAACATTGATTTTGCTTGACATTGACGTGCACATTGGCACTTTTGAGCATGTTAATACAAGTTTTTACACTCTTAGCACGAGACGGGTTTTCGAAAAATCTGTTATCTGATTCACTCGATAATCGTATGGATATGTATTTCTGCTGACATTTCAACACCACATCACATCACATAGAATTATGATGCAGAATGATAATAAAACACAAAACAACTACTAAATTCCACTTGTTATTTCACAGGAGGTGAAAATGCACACTGCCTAGATTCTTTGTAAGGGTCGTCAGACATCGGATTGGCCGCCATATTTGAAATGAAAATATCACTAAATAGAGGTCTGCGCATGTCTCAACATTTCAACTGAGAGAGTTAAGTCTTCCTAAATTGATCACCTTAAACTTCTAGTCAAAATGTCTCATCAAGGATGCGTGTCAATAAAAAATCATAACATATAAAATAGTAAGGATCATACATTTATTTGTCATTGTCAAATTACAGCTGTTGTAACAAGGCATTCAGATGCAAATGTCACCACCTGCCATTTGTTAGAGATGCAGACTACTAACCACCAAACACAAACCGACAATCACCAAATGCTGTCCACAAAAAAGTTGGAGATTATAACAATAAAAGAAGATCCTTAAGGTAATTATTTTAGCTGGATTTAGACTTTCCCATAAATTCACTTCATACAAATATGTTAAGATTTTTCAAAGTTCTATGAAAACGCTGCAATATAAAGTTATATAATTCCAGCTCTGAGCTCAAAACAAATTTCAGCTTTTTCAATGTATTTTCACTTGGCGGTGTCTTCTTCATATGTGCAGTGTTCAGATCGATACAATCTTCTGCAACAGATTTCCAACCCTTGAAATACAATGGTAGAATCAACTCAAGGGCATCCATGGTTGAATTAAAATGTTCCACAACTCCAATGAAGAAGTAGTATTTTTCAATGTGTTTCTTCGTCTGTTCTAAAGTACATTTTGTTCCACATAGCCGATCTAATGAATATGTTGTTGAAATTGCACAGTAACTGTAAGTGAATCGTGCGATGCATTCTTCGAGGGTTTGATTGAAAACACCCTGCTGCCATCTGGTGTAGTAATATGATGATATCGCACGATCAACTGGATGACGAATGATATTGATAAATACTGGTTGTGATGTGTTATATGAGGTGAAATTTATGAAGTCATGGTGTTTGATGTAAATCCCTGGTGACGCCATAGCAACAACTTCATTCACAACTGACCTTGAACTTCCAAATCCACGACGATCTGTTAGCGCAAATCCATTTTTCAAAACGAGATTTTGTAAAATTGTTATGACACTAGTGCTGCCACATTTGGCAAGTCTGTTGTATACAACTTTATAAAACATGAAAATGTTAATATCCTCATTATGATAAGTAGAATTTATCATTGATTGATTCATTTTATATTTTGAATTATTTTTAGAATTTTGCGTGTGAACTGAGAATGCATGGCTTGGTGATGCATGGCCAATAAATGCATGGCTCAGATCATTGATATCCTTTGGTGTGCAGTTGCATGGTTCATCTGTAAATGCATTTTCCACATACTGTTCTCTGTTATCATGACCTATGAAAATATACTGTATTATAAAATACACTCCAAAGATGACCACCACAGTATATCCCTGTTTCTTAACATACATGATGTACAACAATATAAAAGAAACATTAAGGTTGGTAGATGCAGATGCAAGAATACTGGCAATTCTATGTAAAAGCTTAAGTTGATCCATCATATTACTCATATATGGCCTACCTTAAAGCAAACATCAACAAATAAAAAGAGAAATACATGCACAGTAACACCATCTATCAATGAACAACTTTGACAATCACTTTTCACATATCTCATTTACATTCTCTAGCTCGAAATAAAGCAATCGGCCCTATCTTGTATCAAGGGAAAACAAATCCACTTACAAACTTTCAGAGTGAAAAATCTTTTTTCTTAATATCACAGATGTTCACCAGGCTTGGGTTTAACTGTACATTTGATTTTAAAATGGTACATAAATTACTTCTTTAATAGCAGTTTAGAACTTAATTAAACACCTGGAGGCTTTATAAATCTCTAGATCACCTTAAAATATACTAATGAGCTAAATCCCCATTGCCAATGTATTCTTTCACTCATTATGAAAAGCCTCAATGGATCTCTATTCTAGCATTCAACCAACTGAACATCACATGAATTATTACCAAGTGTTCTGAAGATAATCATTTTTATCAATGTTTAACATATGTGTTTTACCAATGATAAACCTACCCTTATTGAAGACTTATAGATGTTGTTTACCTACCTTTACTTGTCATATTTATTACCCATGTTAGACCTAATTTTACCTCATTTTTACCAATGTTAAACTACCTTTACCAATGCTAGGCCTACCTTTAACATGGTTTACCAATGTTCAATGACCTTTACCAATGATGAACCTACCCTTACTGAAGACTTATAGGTGTTAATTCCTACCTTTACCTGCCATGTTTATTACCCATGTTAGACTTAATTTTACATTTTTACCAATATTAAACTACCTTTACCAATGTTTAACCTATCTTTACCATGTTTACCAATGTTACATTACCTTTACGAATGTTAAACTACCTTTACCATGTTTTACCAATGTTACATTACCTTTACAAATGTTAAACCTATCTTTACCATGTTTTACCAATGCTACATTACCTTTACGAATGTTAAACCTATCTTTACCATGTTTTACCAATGTTACATCACCTTTTCCAATGTTAAACCTATCTTTATCATGTTTTACCAATGTTAAACTTACCTTAACTTCAACTGTAAGATCAATCTTCCCCTTGATACCAAATCTTGGAGACCAAACATTTTCCTCGATATCAGTTACATTTGTCACATAAGTAGAATCGTTTCTAGAAATACAGGATATAAAGGGTTAAAGACAGAAAATACATGTCAAAGGTAGCTTTATACTTTCATTAAAAATGCTGAAAGTGAGAAAAGAAATTTCAGAGTTAAAATAAGCAATATTATGAGTTTAAATATGTATTCTACCATAAAGCAAAAAATATGAACATTTAATGTGAAAAAATGTATAAGAAAATGAAAATTATGTACATTAAAAATAGAAAAATAGAAAAAAGTAAGAAAATTCCCATTTATGGTTCCTCTTGATAAGGTAGAGATTAAAAGGTGGATTGGATCGAGTAGATTGGATTCATGTAAAAGGTGGATTTGATCAGGAATCTTCAAAATATAGAATTTCTTTCTTATGATTTTTTCTGTAAATTTTCCTCTAGCTATTTCCATCTATGAAATATTGAGTCCCTTTGAGAAATCAGAACAAAGCAAAGACAAACACATACTCTGATAAGATGATGAATACTCCTAAGTATTCAACTGCTTTCCCTTGTAAACCTACCTTTGTAAGACATAATAAACATAGATCTGTAGATAAAAGCTGTCATTCAAATTGATGTGCGAATGTTCTAAAACAATGTCTGCTACATATGTATGGTCTGAAAACGGATGATGTGGATCTTCAAACCAGTCTATCTATGATGTATGAAATGTCCTTAAAATTACACTTGGAATGAATAAGATACTGTATCACCCTTCTAGACCACCCAAGCAAAATAATATTACATCTTTTATTTGACATTATGGAAGTGAAGAGAGGACTCATCTTCTTAGAGGGAGATCAATAGATTTTTTAAGGAAAATCCATATTTTGAAGATTCCTGATCCAATCCACCTTTTACATGAATCCAATCCACTCGATCCAATCCACCTTTTAATCTTTACCCTTGATAATGAATATTTTAAAAGCTTTTATAACATGCATGTTATGCATTATGTATAAGCAAATATGAACTAATATGTTCTAAGGAAGATTAAAGCCAAAGTGACCATGTATGGGTTCTACTGTGCAAGTGACTTAACGTTCTGACCCATTTAATAGCCTTTCTGGCCCTGTATCATGTATTTGTATGAAATACTGCTCTACATGGTACACAAATTTTCTGTATCATGTGTAAATGAAAACATACATGTTCTGACCCTGGTTATAGCCTGCCTGGCCCTGTATCATGTATGTGTACAAAATACTGCTCTATATGGTCATGGGAGAAGCCCATGATATGGTATACAAATTTTCTATATCATGGTAAGTGGGAACATACATGTTCTGACCCAGGTTACTGGGCTTTCAATAGCAGGGGGCGAGTGTCCGAAATCGCCGTTTGTTTTCGATAATTCGCCGTTTGTTAGAAGTCAAATATTGTCTAAGGTTTGGGGGAAAATAAAAGTCTTCTTTAGACTATCCTTTATTTTATTCAGCGATCTTGTTGCCGACAAATCAAGAAAATTGGTTAATAGATGAGCGAGCAATGAACTCATCCATGCATGAAAGTGGTTCAAGGAAAGATGCATTTCAAAATTTTAATTTTCATAGAAACCAATGGTAAACTAATATTAAAAACCCTTTTAACCTGGTTAGACAGTCAAAATTGGTTTATTTTTTTTAAGTTTAGCATATTTAGAAAAGATTGACATTGAAAAATGTTGTCGCCTAAGTGATGTCACGATGTGGTCACTTAGGTTGAAAATATTTTCGATATGCTAAATCATTAAATTGGCACATTAGATATAACATTTTATTTTTAACATAGTGTGTCCGTTATATATTGGTGTTAAAAAGATATAGAGGTTCTTATATGAGTACCTGTGCAAGATCGTCTATTCTTAATGAGATTTAATAATTCTTCTTTATCGAGTCGCAGACGAGATAAAGAAACATTATCAAAGCGACTGTCGGATAAATTATGTATGTAGTTTCGCACAGGTGCCAACGGAACCAAACAGTGAACCCCGCTTTCCCGAACCCGAGTTTGTGCCAGGATTCGCCTCGCATGCCTCCGACTCTTTCTCAAGATTTGGGCCCTAATTTTCTAAAAATATATTGTACCCCTACTTTATCATCCTGGTGTCTCGTTTATAACACCCTTGTAATTACAATGCGAAGTTACTTAGCATGATAAGAAGTGCATGTGTGGATGGCCCACATTTGACCCCCCATTTACCAAAAGCTGGGACATGTATACCTTTATATACTCAACCGGCCAAGTATTAACAGTACAAAAGGGAGAAAAAATCCACCAGGTCCATAATTCTACACGTTCACGTACAAGTTTAAAAAAAGTGTATATGTGACGAAGTCATAGCTGACCTCGTTGGTCAGTCTACTTATTTCACTTCACATCAGTTGATGTCATAATGATCTTTTTCTGTTACTCATGTTTATAATTATTGCGTTATTTTGATTAGTTTATATTTGTATTATAACAGTTGTTTTAGTGATCTTTAAACCCAGTGTGATATTTCACAATATCAACAGTTTAATTTCCTATGTTTTATCATCATATTAGAGCAGTTTTTAGGCATGAACTATATCTAGAGCCAATCAAACGAAAGGATTATTCTTGAGATATGAGTGGCAGAAATGATATATGAAGTCAACTGATGGGAAATTTTGCAATGTTTAGTTAAGATGTTTATAAGTTTGGATAGTTTTTGGCATCATCTTGAAGACTGCAAATTTCTGATAAACAAAGTAAAAAGCTATTAAACCTAACGACCTGGAGTACAACTGACCAAAACATCAATACTGCTGTATATACTTTGGAAATGTTTATACCTTTATAATCTACATCACATTTTACGAATAATTGTATACTTTTTAGGGTGAAAATTGACGTATAAATATGTGTTTTGGACATAAATTAGATAATGAACTAAATTAGATAATTAGATTAAACATCCAGAGTTCATGAGACGAGGCTCAGAGGTTTTGTCTAGACATTCCTTTCTCACCAAAATCCTCCAAATTCTCAGATTCTCAGTAAACATTCAAGCTTTGTGGGCAGAAAATCATCACTATTTCTTATTGACATTCTATAAAATTAAACATTTATTTTTAGGCCAATTTTAGTTAATGGGATTTCCTGATATTTTATTGGATAAGACCTCTTATTTCGGCTCTGCCCACCTCAAAATTAAGATATAAAAGAGGCATTTTTGGCATTGAAACCTCAAAACCTCGTTGCGTGAACTCGGGACTAACCAAAAACTGTAAGTAACTGATTGAAATGATATTTTTGGACTTTAACTTTTCTTTAATAAATTTATATTTTAAACTATATTTGTTTTCATGTTTTGTAAAAAATAGAGAGACTCAACTTCGCCACATATACTCTTAAATTTATGTAGAACTATGCCTTTGTACCAGTGACCCACTTTCACAGGTGCGTCTTTACAATGAAACACAATAACGAGAATTGCAACTTTAGGATCTTGAAAAAAGTTGCAATATCCTTCCTGGTTAGAATAGGTTTCCACATACAACTAGAAACACTATATAAAATAACTATCTATACACCATCAATGCAAATATATGCTTTCTTCCATTCTGATACTCATGGCATCCTTCTGTTTCACCTGAAACACAGGGCTGAGAAGAAATGAGATGTCATGGTTTATCATGATGGCTTTCTTCGAGAATACATAATGCGGGCTCGGAAATAAGGGGTGCCACATTCATTGCAACACACCTTGCAACAATGTCTTATGAGGGTAATTTCTTATATTGAGAAGTTTATCATCTATTGGAATTAAATACTTGTAGCTACAAAAAGCGAATTTGTTTGAGCAGTCCTAGCTCGACATATTATAAAGAAAACAATATTTACAACATGGTATTCTTAGTAGACTGTTCAATTTGGAATTTCAAAGCTTAGCCAAACATCAGCTTTCTAACAAAAATCATCAAAAAAGGATTTTATCAAAGTCTTTCATGCAAATGAGGGTGCCAATTCACATTTACAAATTAAGATAAGATCCACAATATGTTATCAAATGGTTAAATGCGCAAAATGTGTAGATATGTTTTCCTTAATAATGTGTGACGAGGCCTTTCAGGCAATTATCGAAAACGTAGTGAGAACAAATTTGGTGTAGAGGGGAGAGGGATATCTCCCACCTCGGTCTCTCTCTAATGCCTAGGCCACATATGCGCGCCGGTGTAACAGATCTAAGTGTCCCCAGTGGCCAGTGTCCGTGGGACAGTTAACCCTGGGGATGCTTGTCCGTCGGACTCCAAGTTTTAAGTGTCCCCCTTGAAGTTTTGAATGTCCCCTTGGGGACACTAAAAACCAGCATCATTCGAAAGCTAGTTTTTAGTGCCCCCCCCCCCTTTATTTATGTATTAACTAATAATGCGTTTTATCATTAATAAATCATCGAGCACTACTCTGTCTCGTTAAATATAGACCAAAATATAACACAATTCACAAAATGTAAGTATATTATTGCTTTTATTTGCATAGACATCAAGGGAGCCTACATTAACCTTAATGACTCTGCATCAATGTCCTCCAATGGACAGCCAACCCTAGGGATCGGGTTGGCTGTCCCACGGACACTGACCACCGGGGGACACTTAAATCTGTTACACCGGGCGCCGGCCGATGAGTAGTCATCGGCCGATTTCTAAATCAGTTTCGACAAAAAATATGTAATTCGGCAATTTTAGTTACAAAACATGAAGGTACATTATGTAAAATTTTGAAGACAATTGGTGCATATTTAACAAAATACCAGCACCAGTCCTGTTACTTTTGCAACACCCTGTATGTCACCATTTCTGGCAATGTCTGGAGGCGGTAAAATTACTTTAATTGATAAAATTACTTTAAACTTTCCAATAATAAACACCAACAACTACTTTGTGTATTAATTTCATGGTGATATGATATATTTTATGTATTTTTCTAGATAGTTTTTAATATAGGGACCCTACCACCCGGAACGGTATTCGCACATGGTAACTTTCAGCCTTAAAGGAATATTCCTTGCCAGACCCTTTCTCTCTTGATATGGTAGCTATAATCATATATATAGTTTCCATATTTAGCAAAACATGGGAAAATGTTTTAATATGGTCAATATTGATCATTTAAAAATCTAGTGCTTATTTCCAGTGAGCTGCCATCTTTTAAGATTTCTTGCAGGAAGTGATGTCATCAACTCTCAACTTCTATAACCTTGCCCATGACAGTATAGGAAAGTAGCACAAAATCACTTCTAGACAAGTGATCATTACTTTCTGTGCAAAAATATTTTCAGGGCTTGTCAACTTAGAATAAAAGAAGAGATTTTCAGAAGGATTAAATAAGATACAAAGTTGAAAAAGAATATTTAGCTGGTTTTGTAATTCTTAATAGCTCCTCATCTAATGCTATATATATGCAAAGTTGAGAGTCGATGACATCATTTCCTGTGTGAAATTTTAAAAGATGGCAGCTTACTGGAATTGAGCATCACATTTCTAAGTGATCAAATTTGACCATATCAAAACATTTTTGCGTGTTTTGCTAAACATGGCAAGCATATATATGGTTATAGCTACCATATGAGGAGAGAGATGGTTTGGCAAGGAATATTCCTTTAAATGTTGGCGCCATTTGACTTGTTTCGCAAGTCTTGACCACTATCTTTCTTTGAATTTCGAATGTTTAACCATGCTAGTTTACTTCCTTTGTTACCAGGCAACAAATTAATTGTCTTTTAATCATAATGTCACATATGACAATGGCTGTATATGTCAAATTCTACGAAAATGACATCAGACAAGCAACCCTTATTCTGGTATCATTTTTGCTCCAAGATGGCTGCTGAAATACAGAATATGAAAGAAATCAAAGTGAAACAAAGAATACTACAAGATATTCTCAATAGTATTGACTTTGAGCAGCTACCATATGCATGATACAGTCTAGATATGGCTCCGTGTGATTTTCTTCCTTTTCTGAAGTGGAAAGGAGGGTTGAAAGAAAATGTTTTTTTTACTCATTGGATGAGGTTTAGAGTGGCACTTCAGGAGCATTTGTATCACATAATGGCTGTTTCATAAATGTCTTCCATTCATTGTTAAAACGCTACGAAAAATGTGTTCAAATTCGTGGAAAATATGTTGAAAAGTAGATCTTAATATGTGAAGATGATGATGGCAGATGACACTCAGATTGAAAAATTGGAAATTCTCTCATATCATGACTGGTGTTTGGTTTTGCACCTGCACCTAAAGTAGCCATATTAACAGTTGTGACGTGATTTGCTATATTTAAATACCGTTCCGGGTGGCAGGGACCCGATATTCAAAAATATCTAGAAAAGTACCTAAAATATATTATTTTCTGGTGAAACTTATACACAAAGTTGTTCAGATGTTGATCTTTATTATCTGAAAGTTTCATGTAATTATATTAGAAAATAGCAACGTTAGAGCGGGACGTCCAAGACTTTTGGATCACCCCTAGTACATCACTCTCATTTTAGTAATGACAATTCTAGATTTTGATTTATAAGTGTTCAATTCAACAGGTGCATTTGGATTTGTGAAATGCAACCTGTGTAAGGGTAAGTTATCTTATAAAAGGTAAATGACATTCTATATAAGTTGCCCTAGTCATTCCACAGTTCCAGGTGTTATTTTGTGGAGCCCATGTCTTGCCACATCACACGTGGAAATGACTTTGACAAACCTTGGACATCTTTCTTTCAGTCCATGGACTCTAAAATAACAAGAATTTGCATTGTCGGGAGCGTAAAATTGGTTATTTTGAATGCCGCCTCTTGTATTTTTCATCTGCCCCTTGTACACAAAGTTACTGAAACCACTGGGTTATAGCCAACTTGACCCTGTATCATGTATTTGTATGAAATATTGTTCTTTATGGTACAATAATTTTCTATATCATGCATGTGAAAGTGAATACATACATGTCCTGACCAATTTATAGCCAACCTGGCCCTGTATCATGAATTTGTATGAAATAATGTTCTATATGGTACACACATTTTCTGTATCATGTGAAAGGGAATACATACATGTTCTGACCCAGGTTATAGTCAACTTGGCCCTGTATCATGTATTTGTATGAAATATTGTTCTTTATGGTACAATAATTTTCTATATCATGCATGTGAAAGTGAATACATACATGTCCTGACCAATTTATAGCCAACCTGGCCCTGTATCATGAATTTGTATGAAATAATGTTCTATATGGTACACACATTTTCTGTATCATGTGAAAGGGAATACATACATGTTCTGACCCAGGTTATAGCCAACTTGGCCCTGTATCATGTATTTGTATGAAATATTGTTCTTTATGGTACAATAATTTTCTATATCATGCATGTGAAAGTGAATACATACATGTCCTGACCAATTTATAGCCAACCTGGCCCCGTATCATGAATTTGTATGAAATAATGTTCTATATGGTACACACATTTTCTGTATCATGTGAAAGGGAATACATACATGTTCTGACCCAGGCTATAGCCACCCTGGCCCTGTATCATGTGTTTATTCTTCCAGGCAAGGATCTGAGGTGCACTTTTCACAACTTCTTCCATCATTTGTGTTTCAGTCACACCCAAGGCATACCTAAAATAAAAAAAACATTGTTTTTAACAAGGCATTAACATGCAAAATGTCACCACCTGCCATTTGTTACTGCCGAGACACCGACTGCCAAATGACAAACACCGAATACCAAACACCAACCACCGAACATAATCCACAGAGATATTGGAGACTATAACAATATGTGAACACTTCTGGTGGTGACATACAAGATACAACTGTATATAATGAATGTATTTCTTACTTATTTTATGAGAACAATTAAACCGTCAATATGTTTGACAGTTCCATTTGAGTATGTCATGTGCCATACAACATACACATGACATAAAACACTTTTGAGTAAACGTATTTAACTTTTTTGAAACTGATGTCAATAAGAATTTCTTGAGCAAAATATATAACATGTCAAATGAAATACCGTATTCTCTGTAATTAGCGCCCAGGGCGTTTAGAAAATTGAAAATACATTATTTAGACCATTCTAATAAGCGCCCATGTATGAAAGAAATCAGAAATCCCGAGGAATTTCATGTATGGCAATTTTTCTTGACAAGAATGCATTTTCTTCAACATATTTTTATAATAATATGACAAGTGCTGTTATTGGAGAGAATACGGTAAAGATCGCTTAGACAATATTGACAGTGGTTGAAGACCCGTCTATGTCTAATTTATTTCCGGCACGCCCACTTTGTCATTATCGCCGATTACCTTTAATATTTCCACTAGAGACTGCTGGATATCGATCTAAAGTTATACATTATTTCTAATTTGATGAGAGATCATCATTATTCGTGCAAAAGTCGTGTAAAAGTCGAGAAACATTAAAAAGAAACCAGAAAGTTCACGACCTTGACATGCGCAGAACATCTGCGCAGTAGCTTTTAAAATTTCTGAATGCCGATAAAGAACAATTCCTTCATTCATTATGGACTATTTGGAGACAATATTAGCATGGTATGGTGTGGGAAGCACCCATCGATAGATATGTATCGAGAGGATGCATAGAATTACAAAACGCGTCGTGTTTACAGCAGTTTTAGGGTAAGTACTCTATTATCGCCCGCTCCTGGATTTTGAGAAATATTTTTTTCCTGATATATTCTTCAATTCTTGTTGATTCCTCGATGTTTCTTGAACTTTGTGAAGCGGGGTGGGCGCTTATTAGAGAGTGGGCGGTAATTACAGAGAATACGGTATGTTAAATGAAATATGCAGAAATAATGAGGAAAATCAACACATTTTCATGGAATGCAATTTTTAAAATGAATTGAAAAAAATAATTTAAAAGTACACATAAATATGGCTAAAATGATGTAATAAGAAATTGGCAGCAATTAGAAATTGATTATCTAAAGTACAATATAGATTAACATGGTCAAGTCAATGTAAATTATTAGATTTTAATTTGCATGGGTATTAGTAAGATGCGTATCTATTTTTCATTGAAATTTATATAAAATCTATGTAAAGCATGGAATTAATTGGTTGAAAGACTTCCAGCTGACATCCTCAAGTTATTTACCATAAAGGTTGGAACTGACTGCTGGAACTTAAGAAAATTTAGATTTCACCTGAGAGAGGTTCAAATACCAATAAATATTTTCTATTTTCTATGTTTCATATGTGTCCAATTGGCAATGTGAAAACTCCCCTCATGGCAATAAATTATTAATCCAAGCAATACCAATATTTATTAAAACACCTGCATCTGTTATTTAACTTCTACGTCAATAACTGTAAAACTAGAAAAGGAATATTTCCTAAATTCAATATCTGAAACAATTTTGCCTATTCTCAATTTGCAGTTTTCTTGAATTTTCTATCATTTTAAAAGTTACTTTGATTTGATTGATTTTAAACTGCCAAAATGATTTAAACTGAATCATATACATATTTGAATAATATAAGAACATAAGGCTAAATTATCAACTGCACAGTACAATAACCTTATGTATCATTTGTAAGGTTACATGTATTAAGTTTGTCATTAATGTTGTTCAAAAAGTTCTGAACAAGTTTCTAACGAAAAATCCAAAATTATTTATGAAAAATCAGGGGATTACGGTACAGTACAGTACAGTATATGAAAAAATTGGAGTTTTCACTAAAAATAGACGTGTGAACAATTTCAAAAAAATTAATGATGTCAATGATCTTATGTAAAAATTGTGATGGAGGAAGGGTAAATCTATAACAAAAATCCTCTTAATAAGCTGTCACGCAACACTTTTTGAACACCCCTTATATATAAGGTTGAAATTAGATATTTAATATAATCCACATAGCCAACCTTATAAATACTGTGAATTTATTAAAGTATGTCATAATGAACATGGATCACAATACATGTAGATGTAGTTGATCAGGAGACAACAACAATAACATAGGTAATAATAATAACAACAATAACCTTGGTGACAACGACAGAATAACAATGAAAAGACATACAATTTGTACAATATTTTTTTTCACATTTCTGATAAATGTCATACTTGGTGTAAAAAGGGAGCAAGATGGACCAGTTGTCACAATCAACAGTGGAAAAATACAGGGTGTCTCAAAACCAGGATTGGATGTTTTTTATGGTATACCTTATGCTGCTCCACCCACAGGAGAACTCAGGTTAGCCAAATTATAAAATTACATCAAGATGCTAGAATTACCAAAATGGTATCATCATTACAATTGTTAAGAACATACAATTTATCAATAGCTCTGAATCCTGAATATGTAATAGCATACCAAAATAAGATTCCAGGCATTAATGGTCTAAGGCGAAAAACGAGAAATAATCAAGGTATAAAGGTAACAGCTGACAAAAAAAAATTTCTCTTTTAAAATAGTCTTTATTCAACTTTTGGTTATTTTACAAAACATAATCAATGACATAAAATAGATAATTCATACAATTTTCATTTTAATAGTTTTGATACAAAATTCCACTTTGAACAATAAAATACATTTTTTATATAATTAATTTCATATTTTATCAATGAAATCATGCTTCCAAATGTTCTTTGTTTTTTACTGTTCAATTCTAGAATATATGATTTATAAGACAAGAAATGTTTACTGTTAAGTACATGTTTACTGTTAAGCACATAAGAATTCCGCATTCAAATCTTTTCAGGTTTGAGTAAAGATGACCAAGAAAAACACATCAAGTTCTGGCAATTTTCCTTTTGAACAAATTCTTCATTGTGTTCCTGTATTGTATTGTATGTATTGATGTATCGATGATGCTCCTGTACCAAATATGATTATTATTATTAGATGGAAGAGGCCACAACCAGTAGCAGAGTGGGGAGAGACAAATACCCGAATGACAAAAACACGAACTTCAGCCTGTCCACAAGAAATCATGACTGTTGGACTTTGCAGCTTGGGTTTTTGTCCAAAACAAGTGAGTATAATATTTACAGGGTGTCAAATTAAAAACAGGTATAATATTCAGAGGGTGTCAAAATAAAAGTAGGTATATCTGCAGGATGTCCAAATATAGACAGGTATCATACTTATAGGGTGTCAATTTAAAAAATTGGTATCATATTTAAAGGGAGCCCAAATAGAGTGGGATATTGTCCCAAACAAGTAAGTATGTTATCTACAGGGTGGCCAATTATAGATAGGTATCATATTTACAGGGTGTCCAAATATAGATAGGTATTATATCTAAAAGGAAAGGGTTGTCCAGATGAAGATAAACATCATATTTACAGGTTTTCCAAATATATCTAGGTACCACTGATATTTATAGGGTGTCCAAATAAAGAATGGATCATATAGAAATTAACATAGAAAGATGTCATATTTATAGGTTAAATTACTGCATTTTTCAATTTGTGAACAACTTGGAATAAAATGCAATAAGCCAAAAAATGCTAATGAATCAAACCACTGGATTTCAAACATTCCAACCAATGAGCTATCATGATGCAAAATTGGTAGCCAATCAGGTATATGCCTTTTCATGAAAAATATATTGTAGGTATCAGAGGACTGTCTCCACATGAACATATTTGTTCCTCAACAGACAAACAACAATGTGAATGCCACTTTAACATATGCAGTGATGGTATTTATTGTAGGTATCAGAGGACTGTCTCCACATGAACATATTTGTTCCACAACAGACAAACAACAATGTGAATGCCACTTTAACATATGCAGTGATGGTATTTATTGTAGGTATCAGAGGACTGTCTCCACATGAACATATTTGTTCCTCAACAGACAAACAACAATGTGAATGCCACTTTAACATATGCAGTGATGGTATTTATTGTAGGTATCAGAGGACTGCCTCCACATGAACATATTTGTTCCTCAACAGACAAACAACAATGTGAATGCCACTTTAACATATGCAGTGATGATATTTATTGTAGGTATCAGAGGACTGTCTCCACATGAACATATTTGTTCCACAACAGACAAACAACAATGTGAATGCCACTTTAACGTATGCAGTGATGGTATTTATTGTAGGTATCAGAGGACTGTCTCCACATGAACATATTTGTTCCACAACAGACAAACAACAATGTGAATGCCACTTTAACATATGCAGTGATGGAATCTATTGTAGGTATCAGAGGACTGCCTTCACATGAACATATTTGTTCCACAACAGACAACAACAATGTGAATGCCACTTTAACATATGCAGTGATGGTATTTATTGTAGGTATCAGAGGACTGTCTCCACATGAACATATTTGTTCCTCAACAGACAAACAACAATGTGAATGCCACTTTAACATATGCAGTGATGGTATTTATTGTAGGTATCAGAGGACTGTCTCCATATGAACATATTTGTTCCACAACAGATAAACAACAATGTGAATGCCACTTTAACATATGCAGTTATGGTATTTATTGTAGGTATCAGAGGACTGCCTTCACATGAACATATTTGTATTTGTTCCACAACAGACAAACAACAATGTGAATGCCACTTTAACATATGCAGTGATGCTATTTATTGTAGGTATCAGAAGACTGCCTTCACATGAACATATTTGTATTTGTTCCTCAACAGACAAACAACAATGTGAATGCCACTTTAACATATGCAGTTATGCTATCTATTGTAGGTATCAGAAGACTGCCTTCACATGAACATATTTGTATTTGTTCCACAACAGACAAACAACAATGTGAATGCCACTTTAACATATGCAGTGATGCTATTTATTGTAGGTATCAGAAGACTGCCTTCACATGAACATATTTGTATTTGTTCCACAACAGACAAACAACAATGTGAATGCCACTTTAACATATGCAGTGATGCTATTTATTGTAGGTATCAGAAGACTGCCTTCACATGAACATATTTGTATTTGTTCCACAACAGACAAACAACAATGTGAATGCAACTTTAACATATGCAGTGATGCTATTTATTGTAGGTATCAGAAGACTGCCTTCACATGAACATATTTGTATTTGTTCCACAACAGACAAACAACAATGTGAATGCCACTTTAACATATGCAGTGATGGTTTTTATTGTAGGTATCAGAGGACTGCCTCCACATGAATATATTTGTTCCACAACAGACAAACAACAATGTGAATGCCACTTTAACATATGCAGTGATGCTATTTATTGTAGGTATCAGAAGACTGCCTTCACATGAACATATTTGTATTTGTTAAACAACAGACAAACAACAATGTGAATGCCACTTTAACATATGCAGTTATGCTATTTATTGTAGGTATCAGAAGACTGCCTTCACATGAACATATTTGTATTTGTTCCACAACAGACAAACAACAATGTGAATGCCACTTTAACATATGCAGTGATGCTATTTATTGTAGGTATCAGAAGACTGCCTTCACATGAACATATTTGTATTTGTTCCACAACAGACAAACAACAATGTGAATGCCACTTTAACATATGCAGTGATGCTATTTATTGTAGGTATCAGAAGACTGCCTTCACATGAACATATTTGTATTTGTTCCTCAACAGACAAACAACAATGTGAATGCCACTTTAATATATGCAGTGATGCTATTTATTGTAGGTATCAGAAGACTGCCTTCACATGAACACATTTGTATTTGTTCCTCAACAGACAAACAACAATGTGAATGCCACTTTAACATATGCAGTGATGCTATTTATTGTAGGTATCAGAGGACTGCCTCCACATGAATATATTTGTTCCTCAACAGACAAACAACAATGTGAATGCCACTTTAACATATGCAGTGATGGTTTTTATTGTAGGTATCAGAGGACTGCCTCCACATGAATATATTTGTTCCACAACAGACAAACAACAATGTGAATGCCACTTTAACATATGCAGTGATGCTATTTATTGTAGGTATCAGAAGACTGCCTTCACATGAACATATTTGTATTTGTTCCTCAACAGACAAACAACAATGTGAATGCCACTTTAACATATGCAGTGATGCTATTTATTGTAGGTATCAGAAGACTGCCTTCACATGAACATATTTGTATTTGTTCCTCAACAGACAAACAACAATGTGAATGCCACTTTAATATATGCAGTGATGGTTTTTATTGTAGGTATCAGAGGACTGCCTCCACATGAATATATTTGTTCCTCAACAGACAAACAACAATGTGAATGCCACTTTAACATATGCAGTGATGGTTTTTATTGTAGGTATCAGAGGACTGCCTTCACATGAACATATTTGTTCCACAACAGACAAACAACAATGTGAATGCCACTTTAACATATGCAGTGATGGTATTTATTGTAGGTATCAGAGGACTGTCTCCACATGAATATATTTGTTCCACAACAGACAAACAACACTGTGAATGCCACTTTAACATATGCAGTGATGGTATTTATTGTAGGTATCAGAGGACTGTCTCCACATGAACATATTTGTTCCACAACAGACAAACAACACTGTGAATGCCACTTTAACATATGCAGTGATGGTATTTACTGTAGGTATCAGAGGACTGTCTCTACATGAACATATTTGTTCCACAACAGACAAACAACACTGTGAATGCCACTTTAACATATGCAGTGATGCTATTTATTGTAGGTATCAGAGGACTGCCTCCACATGAACATATTTGTTCCACAACAGACAAACAACAATGTGAATGCCACTTTAACATATGCAGTGATGGTATTTATTGTAGGTATCAGAGGACTGTCTCCACATGAATATATTTGTTCCTCAACAGACAAACAACAATGTGAATGCCACTTTAACATATGCAGTGATGGTATTTATTGTAGGTATCAGAGGACTGTCTCCACATGAATATATTTGTTCCTCAACAGACAAACAACAATATGAATGCCACTTTAACATATGCAGTAATGGTATTCATCCATGGTGGGGCTTTTGAATCTTTTGCGGGAACAAACAAGATGTTTGATGGAGACTCTATAGCTAAAGAAGGAAATGTGATTGTAGTCACGTTCAACTACAGGCTGGGTAGGTATGACAAAAAATTAAAGTAAATTGGATTAGACGAAGATAATAGTTTTTATGGTTTCTTTATTTTACTTTACAAAATTATCTACAAATGACAGGGCCGAGGCTGAAATCAGCATTATTGGCCCTGTTAATACAAAGTTTATTCAAATTTACAAAATAGCAACAAAATGACTACCAACATATATGTATGCATGGCAGGAATGTGTTAAAACTATATAATTATATCAATGCATTCACACAAAAAGGATGTAAAATGCTTCAATATTGAAGAATTGCATGTTATGCTAACTCCATCTCTGCCATACATTAAGATATTCAGCTTTTGCTCTATAGAGCATCCTGTAAAGAAAATGTTCATTTCTGGCATGTTCCTGAGTTCCCCCCAAAGTTTCTCTCTTATAACATTCAACAGAGGGCATTTGAAGATTAGATGCTTTGTAGTTTGTTGTTTAAAACCACAGATGCATTTGGGACTGTCAATACCTTGAAAATTATGTTGAAAAAGATGACCAGTAAAAATGAAATCACATCTTGTTCTATTCAGTAAAATTTCTTCTTTTCTTGTAAGATCCAGGTTTGTGGTTGTTAAATGCTTCATTGTTCCTGAATATTTACGTAAATTGGTTTTGAAAGTGACTCTTGATGGTGCACTTTTTAGATAATTTGGAATGGCTTCCCATTCTCTTATGGCATTTATTATTGGTGACTTTTGTGAACGTGCAGTTAACTTTGGAATAGTGTATTATCTTGATTTTCTCAAGTTAATATTATGTTGCTTATTTTGATAACTATCAAAAAATTTTTGAACATAAGTTGGGACCAAGACGAAGATAATGTGAGGTAAAAGTAATTTAAAGTGGATTGGGTTAAACGAAGATAATGTGAGGTAAAAGATTATAGAAGGCAAAAAAAGAAAGACATGGATATGTGAGGCAAAAAAGGCGAATGAATAAGATAAAACAGTTCACTATATTATGGTAAATTACCATAATATGATAAATGATACCATGATTTGATAAAAATTACCATAATATGATAAATGATACCATGATTTGATAAAAAATATAGCTCCAAACTAAATCCTATTTATGAACTCGAATTCAATGTTAATTATGGAATTCAAGTTCATAAATAGGATTAATTTGGAGCTATATATTTATCAAATCAATATTTTGAGAATGTTAGAATGGTTTAGTTTCAGATTTTTTGTGGACTTTGGATATTAAGAGATTAGAACTAATATTTTGTTTTTGGGATAAAAATCCAATGGCTCTATTATTTGCCTCACTAAAATGATAACGCTTTTGTAAATTTGCAAACAGGGTTGTTTGGGACCTTCTACACTGAAGGTACAACTGAAGATGGGAATTTTGCACTTTTTGATCAGCAAATGGCGCTAGAATGGGTCCACACAAACATACATCACTTCAAAGGAGATCCAAATAAGGTTTGTTCTGTGTCCGTGATGTTACGATTTTGCCAATTATCCCTCCTTGTATTTCAAAAGGTTTTACTCAAACTCACTTACATCAGTATTAGGTAGAAAACATCTGTCATGCCAATGCTGTCTTTGTAAAACAACATTTTCAAATTATGTAATTTTTGGGCAATATTTTAAGTTTTTGGAATCTTTTAGTGCAACGATTAGGATTTTGTAATTTTTGGTTCAACATCTTTTTAAGGATTTCGTATTATTATGGAGGATTTCAGGAAGTGCAATGTGCATAGAATATTGGAAGGGCATTTTTGTGTTATGGAGGTGCTGCACCTCTGAGATTTCAGAACCCTGGTTATGTAACATATTTATAGAGTGTTACTTATCCTCACCCTCATTTTATTTATCCTTACATATTTTCAGGTAACAATTGTAGGGCAAAGTGCAGGAGCTCAATCCGTTGGATTCCACCTTACAAACCCAAAATCAAGCGACTTCTTCTCGCAAGCCATAATAATGAGTCTACCAGCTGTTCCGTTTAAAACACTACAACAAGCCATGGTGGTATCAAGCATTATTGCGACACATGTAAATTGTACCCCAGGAGATTTTGTATGTCTTCGCGCTACCCCAATGGAGCAGTTGATCGATGTTGTGCATGACAACCGCAAGCAGATAACGGATGCAGTTGTTGTCAGGGCCAATGGGACAGCATTGGATACATTTGAATTGTTTACACCATACATTGATGGTGATCTGATTACAGAGAGAAGCATGGTTGATATCTTCCAGAATGCACCACCATTGAAACCTGTTATATATGGAACTATGGGACAAGAGGCAATCTCTTATATAGGTCCCTATATATCAATGCTGAAAGATGTTACTCCCTCGGCGGCTCTTGCTGTACTAAAAGGAATAGATGCAATACCAGATATGACAAGGGATGCTCTAAAAGGCTATCTTGCAGGGTCTAATGACACAATTGAGGTAAGAACCAATGATATATCAAAGAAAGAAGACTACATTTCCAGATTTACAGAAGTACAGTAAAACCTGTGAAAGTGGGACAGCACTCACTGTTCCACAGCTGGATGGCCCTAACTGCAGTTAGCTTCATTCAAGATGGTTGCTGAAATTCTTTCATTTTCGATAAACCTCCGATTTCAGCTAAACTAAGTTGAATCTGGATTCCAAATGTTTCGCCATGCAAATTAATAAAGTTACGATGGTTAATAACCACATGATCTACGTCATCATTATGTCATCATTACGTCATCATCAACTTCAGTTAGAGTCATTCTAAGTGAAGCCGTTTTCTTTAAAATTCTCTAACCCCCCTATCACACCAAACTAGTTCTTACCCGTTCTTGCCAGTCCTACGAAAATGTCGTAAAACGGGCTCAATCTGGCTGCGGACGGGATATATATGTCTAAAATAATTAGCTACTTCGTTCATAAACAGTCTCCAATACGTCCATCTCATTCGCAGTTCGTTCAGGTCGCACCAAGTCGGAGTGCAACATAGTGTAAACCGTCCCTTAGTCTAGAAGGTCATCATGACCTGATAACAGAACGGCATGGTCGCCATCGAATTTTGAATCGATTCAAAATTCTAAATCACATTCCCCGTCTGGGAAAGTCCATGAAGTTCGTAAACAGACCATGGAACGTTGTAGCTACATTCATTCAGTTCGCACACAGTTTAAAACCGATTCGGCAACGTTTTGACGATCACCAGAAAATTTTCAGCATGCTCTAAGTTGTGGAGGACCTACTCGTTCTAGTAGTTTCATGAAGTTTGTAAACAGATCCCAAACAGTTCTTAGTTGGTTCTTAGTACGTCAAATCCGTTCGTGCACAGTTTAAGCCCATTTTCGAGAATGTAGTGAGAACTAGTTTGGTGTGATAGTAGGGTAATATTGCTGGTGTTTGGGCATTCATTTGTGGTTGAATACAATCATAGTTTTATTAATTTGCATGGCGAAACTTTTGGAATCAAGATTCAGCTTAGTTTAGCTGAATCGGAGGTTTATCAAAAATGAAAGAATCTCGGCAACCATCTTGAATGAAGCTAACTGCAGTTAGAGTCATCCAGCTGTGGAATGGTAAGCACTGGTACCTCAGCACTGTTCAACTTTGGAGGTTATCTGCTACTTTAGGTTCATTTTTTCAAGCATGTTTAGAAAAGAAATACTTCATTTTCCAAAACATTATTTGACTGCCTATTACAATACCTAATTCAAGTAATAATTTTTAATACAGTAATGCAAACAAGGCATTAACATGCAAAATGTCACAACCTGCCATTTGTTAATGATACCGAACTGAACACCATCTGTCAAACACCAAATGCCAAACACTGTTCACAAAAAATTGGAGCCAAAAAAAATATGTCACCATGCACTTCTGGCAGTAACATAATACAACAGAAAATAACACTTATGATTTTTTTACAGGTGGTTGAAAAACTAGGGAATGACTTATTGTTCAGATGCCCAGCGCGTAAACTTCTCGAATTCACCATAAAGGCAGGAAACCACGAAGTCTGGTTATATCAGAACATGAATTCGATATCTTCAACAGGCCCAAACCTGACTGCTGATGCTTGTAACAATCAACCTTGTCATGGTAGCGATCTGGCGTACCTTTTCAATGCATTACACCATATACAGCAAAACGTCCAAATCAAGTTTGGATCTGATGAAAAACAAGTGTCAAGGGATTTAATTCAATACTGGACAAATTTCATTAAATTTGGAAATCCGAATGGTGAAATGGGTAGTCATGTATCGTGGCCTATGTATGAGCTTAATAATGGTAAAAAGAGTTTATGTTTGAATGTGAAAAATAATAAAATTGAAGAGAATTCTGGTGGTAGTCTATGCGATGCATTAGACCCATATCTATAAGCATTATTAACTCTGGGACCATAATTGGTATTATCAAATTAGCTGTATGTTTACCCATGATATTAAACTCATAATTAATATATCGATGATAATAAACTAGAACAGATTTTCTGGAATCTTATTAAAGGATGTGTCTGGCCTTTTGGTCCCTCAGTCAAATGTATGTGAAATATGGTTTTTATTACCGTCCTAGTTATATTTAATAAGTATATTTACTTTTTCACGAATTTTGATGCATAATTAACCCCCTGCTGAGAGTCAGAATAAGTATCTTAACAAACAAAAAAATAGTCAAAAACACCAATGGCAACATGTATGACATACAAAGAAGAAATAACTTAAGACCGATGAAGAATTAAAAAGAAAGTCATATTTTTTAAATATATTTAAAGGAATATTCCTTGCCAAACCATCTCTCTCCTCATATGTTAGCTATAACTATATATATGCTTGCCATGTTTAGCAAAACACCCAAAAATGTTTTGATATGGTCTTTGATCACTTAGAAATGTGATGCTCAATTCCAGTAAGCTGCCATCTTTTAAAATTTCACACAGGAAGTGATGTCATCGACTCTCAACTTTGCATATAGCATTAGGCGAGGAGCTATTAAGAATTACAAAACCAGCTAAATATTCTTTTTCAACTTTGTATCTTATTTAATCCTTCTGAAAATCTCTTCTTTTATTCTAAGTTGACAAGCCCTGAAAATATTTTTGCACAGAAAGTAATGATCACTTGTCTAGAAGTGATTTTGTGCTACTTTCCTGTACTGTTATGGGCAAGGTTATAGAAGTTGAGAGTTGATGACATCACTTCCTGCAAGAAATCTTAAAAGATGGCAGCTCACTGGAAATAAGCACTAGATTTTTACATGATCAATATTGACCATATTAAAACATTTTCCCATGTTTTGCTAAATATGGAAACTATATATATGATTATAGCTACCATATCAAGAGAGAAAGGGTCTGGCAAGGAATATTCCTTTAAGGATTAAAATTTTTTTCAAATTTTTGAATTTCCCGCCAGTTTAATTTGAAGGGGGAAAAACAAAATGGTTGCCATTTGATGTAAGAAAAATCAGGAAAAAAGTTGCTTCACTTTTAGTTTTCACAATGAGCACAGTTTTCCGGTTTAGGTTTTTTGACTGATTCTGACTCTTCATCACCAGGGTCATGTATAGAGATTATAAAATTGAAACCAAAATGTTGTGCTCAGCATGAATTTGACTGAAATATGGGTAACATCACCAACACAATTGAAGTCTCAAAACTGGATGCTCAGTAACTTTGAGTGACTATAATCCCTTGATTACCCAGATAAACACCAATTCACTTATCCAGAAATACCATTCAATGTCTATTCAAAGAAAGTAACCAATGTTTTGGAAGATATGTTTCAAACTTTTTGCATAAATAATTCATTTAATATTTGCCATTGATTTTTTTTCAATTCTGACAAAGTGATATGCACTCTCTTTGATGCAAATATTCTTCATCAATTGTGATACAAATTGATATTTTTGTAATCTCAGAAGAAGGATAAGATATTGAAGTTTAATAATATGTGTGATTGAGTTGGTTTTTCAGACATTACAATTTTCAATATTTTCTAAGTCGATACCCAGACTCATTCCAAGACTCATCCTTTTACATGTCAGTATTCCAGACACCCTCAAATGTACAATTTATATGCAGATAACATTTACCTTATACTAAATTCTACACATGATCAATTTCATTTTGGGTTATGTATTCTCTCTAATAGATACCCATACTCCAATAACGTATCCCCAGGGATTTTGTCATCTCCTACATGAGGAGAGAGACTAGATGGCCACAATAAAGGTTACGCAGAATGCCCAAAAACAATCAGTTCTAGACTTACATCCCTTAAATTTCAGATCATTTTGTCAAACAGTTCATCTGGTGACAAATTTAATTGTGATAATAACTCTTTAAAGGTTGTTTTATTCATATGGGAGACTGAATGGTAAGTCAGTGATGAAGTTGTAATGTAATGATGTTCGCTTATCCGGGAAAACCATCACATTAAGGACACTTTAAACTTTTTATCAACATCTATTCTCTCCTATTAAAGCCAATCATCTTTCGAAATACAATATATTTAATTATACATATATACAGATCTTGATTATTTTTCCCAAATACTTCCTCTACTGAGGATTTTCCATGGACCTATCAATGATTGAATATCCTCCATTGCTACCTATATGCAGTGATCTCCCCTGGATATTTTCTCAACTGGATGCAAAATCCTCAGTGTACCGGTTTTTATCAAAATATCTCAATATTTAATTTTTTTGGCTGAGTGCAAATATTTTTGGTACTGCACCTTGTTGTACTAATGTTGGGGAGATATATGAGTTTAATTTTACTTACATATCATGCAGAATGCTATTTTCTTTGAGGAGGTCCTCTCCGATCTTCAGAATTTTTGAAGTAGTTAAGTTTTTCTCAATCACACTCTGAAAATATGAAAAAAGAATCCAATACATTTATGATTCAACCAATCTTTATTCAGAAAGAATTTCTATTATAACTCGAAGTGATTGAAATCTGACAGAGACAATGTAAGATATTGATAATCACAGTAAAACCTGTCTTATCTGAACACCATTTGGACAAGCCAAAAGTAATTGGATCGGTGGGTGTTCACATTTCAAGGTTTTTAACATGGAAGTCTATGGCAGATTGAAAAATGGGACTGACAGAATGTTCACCTCATAAGGTTTTCAGATTAGAGAGGTGCTCAGATATATATAGGTTTTACTGTAATTTGAATTTTTGACTGAAAAATTCAATGACATATTCAGTAAACATTATGTTAAAACAACATTGTGCATTTATTTTCTATTCTTTACTTTATAAATGTTACTATTTATACAAGGGGCGATCCATATATTCTGATGAAATGCTCTCTTTATCTCAAAATCAATTTAAGTTATAGCTATAATATTTTAGCAGTGAATGTGTAATTACACATTCTATATGTTCTGAAAAAATGAGAGGGATATGTGAAAAGATCACAAAATGAGAGCAGTTTTATCAGAATATATGGATCGCCCCTTGTATTACGTTACAAAATCAGAAATAAATGAAAATGATAACACTGACAGTTCATTTGCTCCAGTTAGAAGGAATCAAAAAGGGGATAGTTTTGAAAAAATTCATAATTCCACAATGTCTATTTGCTAAAACAGCCAACAGTTTTGTCTATATTTCAGCACAATCTTTCAAAAACTGTCAACATAACTGAACATCAAACCTTACCAAAAAGGTGTTGAAATTAGAACATTCATAAATGTTGCCAATAAGTCATTCTTTAGTAAGCATTTACATCAGAGTTTCAATTAATTTAGAGAATGTTTTTTTGGAAGTCCAAACTGCATTCTTACCTTCTGAAAAATCTCATGGAGAACTGTTCCATTCAACATGTGAATATTGCGGCTGTCAACACCCTGCAAGAGTAAATGAGACATGGACAAGTTATACATTTACATACAATGCAGGGGTTTCACTAGAAACAGGCTCAATAAATGAAAACAACAGGCAAAATTAATGGAAATCATAAATTTAATATGGAAAAGTGAAAAGTCCCTAAAAACAACAGGCAATTTTGTGAAAACAACCAGTGAAAATCACCTGTTGCCTGCTGCTAATGAAACCCCTGCAATGTGTGTTACAGATGGAGAAGTTACATTTCTAGAAACCTTAGAGGCAAAAGCTTTTCTCAATATTATACTGAATGGCCCATAAGTATGTTTACAGTTACGGTTTACAGATTGTTGAAAAACTGAACACCAAAAGTTTTGGGTCACTCTGTATATCAAACACATGAGTGAACCGCAGCGTCGATTGGACAACTTGGAGGTCATTGTCATCTTTAAAGGTCTTACTGCGCTGATTAAAACTTAGATATTGCATGATCAGAAGAGTACTGTGTATAAGACCTAGGTCCTCTATAGCTGCAGTGGTCTAATGCTGACTTGCTGGCATGGAGATGGATGACTGGCTTCAAATTGGGTCTTTTCAGAAACTCTACTGTGAATTGTGCAGACTTTTATACAGAGTGATAATCCAGGAAATTGAATAAAAATTATTTCATGGATCATACTTGAATCTGAGTTGTATAGCAATACCATTACAACAAAGCAACAAGTAAAACAAACAAGAATTGTTGTACTGTAATAGGTAAATTAGATATATATATACACTGTAAATTGCGTTTCAATTGTTTCAATCAGTTGGAGGATGAAGAAATAAATCTTTTCTTCATCCTAGATCAGTTCAACCATTTCAATGAATGCATCATTTCCTACTTTTCAATGCTTACATCATTTCGAGCATTTCAATCGATATGTCTTCGAAAAGGAAATCGAAATCTTTCCGCTTGCGCCTGTTTCGCCGTCTTAAGCTTTTCAATCACAACCAATTCATGAAGAAATGGGCAAAACGATTGAAAAGAAAAAAGAACACACACGTTTTTTGTTTCAAATTACTGTTTAGCTACTTGCGATTGTAGTTTCGTTGTTTCAAGCATTTCAATCAATTTGCCTGACGAACTTTTAAGTTTAGTAATCATTTTCATTTCAACCATTTCAAGCAATTCGGCCATTTCGCCTCCATTTCGCCTGCCAGTGTATACACTTCTTTACCTTCGACCGTTTGTAAGAGAGAGACTGAGGCAGGAGATATCCCCCTCCCCTCTACACAAAACTTGTTCTCACTACGTTCTCGAAAATTGGCTTAAAGGCTCCTCACATTATTAAGGAAAACATACATGTATCTACATATTTTGCGCATTCAACCATTTGATAAAATATTTTTGATCTTTTCTCAATTTTTTTAATGTGAATTTGCACCTTCATTTGCATGGAAAACTTTGATAATATCCTTTTTTGATGATCTTTGTTCGAAAGCTGATATTTGGCTAAGCTTCGAAATTCCAAATTGAACAGTCTACTAAGAATACCATGGTGTAAATATTTTTTTCTTTATAATATGTCGAGCTAGGACTGCTCAAACAAATTCGCTTTTTGTAGCTACAAGTATTTAATTTCAATAGATGATAAACTTCTAATAGATGATAAACTTCTCAATATAAGAAATTACCCTCATAAGACATTGTTGCAAGGTGTGTTGCAATGGATGTGACACCCCGCATTCCCTGGCCTGCATTATGTATTCTTGAAGAAAGCATACACTTGCATTGATGCACCTGTGAAAGTGTGTCGCTGGTACAAAGCGAAGTTCTAAATAAATGAATAAAAGGGAGGTTAAGATATATGTTTTTTTTAACTTGTAGGTGAACGTGTAGAATTATGGACCTGATGGATTAGTTCTCCCTTTTGTACTGTTAATACTTGGCTGGTTAAGTATAAAGGTATATATGCCCCAGCTTTTGGTAAGGGGTGATCAAACCTCACCCCATCCACACATACACTTTTTAGCATATACAGGGTGATCAATAAATAAGGTAAAAGTATCTGGCATTTCTTCAGATTTTACCCAATCCTCATAAAATTTGCACAGAATGATGTTCAAACATTATTGAATTGATATATTAAGTTACAGATCAAAGTGAGGTGATTGGTTGAAGTTATAGTTGCCATAGCAACAGAAAGCATGAAGACCCGGGGCAACTATCAAAAAATTAAATTTTCAGTTGAAACACTTTTGATAATATATTTCAAATCACAATTAAAATGGCATATCATATTCTTCATTTCATTCTTCATAACTGCTACTTAATGTCCTTTGTTTTTAACATATAGTTCATGTCTTCTACTCCAGTCTTCTTACACCTTTTAAAGCCATTTTCCTATAGCCTGCAAATTTTCAAGACAGTTGGCTTCAAGTCATCCCATGAGAAACTCTCTCAACTCCCTCTTCAGCTCACCATGACGGTAAAATCATAAGGGGAAAAGTCAGGAGAGTATAGTACATGACCTAACAGTGGGAAACCCAGTGCTTCAATGGTTTGTACCCTGAGAATTGCATTGTGACACAGAGCATTATCCAAGTGCAATGTGAAACGTTTTGAAGGCCTCTTAGTCTTAGCTTCTTCCTCTTTTCTCTCATCAAATCTCTTCTTTGGGTATTGTTTTTCATTATTGACCTGTGTCATAGACTTTCTATGATCACATCAGTTTTCATTATGTATTAATCTTTTCCGTGACATCAAACATCAAATTTGCAAGAACATATGTAACAATGTAAACAAAGTATTAAAACAATTAATGCTGGCACCCACGTTTATTTCTTTTCAGTTTGAAAAAGATGTGCTTTTTATCATTTTTTGTTCAAATTGGACACAATGAAATTGCCCCGGGTATCCCCGACTCCAGTTGCCATAGTAACTATAATATTAACCAATCAGATGGCAGAAGTTATATACTTATATGTTTTAATATGGAAATGTACAAGGTATATTCTGACCAAATTTCAGGATGTTTGGACCAATATTTACAAAATGCCAGATACTTTTACCTTATTTATTGATCACCCTGTATGCTTAAGTAACTTCGCATTGTAATTTCAAGGGTGTTATTAAATAGACACCAGGATGATAAGGGAGGGATCCAATATATTTCCGCACTTGCGTGGAAGAAAATTAGGGCCCAAACCTTGAGAAAGAGTCGAAGGCATGAGAAGCATCCTTCTTCAAAGGACTTCATTTATGCATAAATTCAGCCCTTCACTTAAGCCCAGTTAGTTTCATTTTAGGGGTCATAAATAAGCTGATTTTCCTAGTGGTCAACGCAGAAAATGCGTTTCCAATCACAATGCTCTATACTAAATTTGATGGGCATGTTTTGTCTTCCCTCTGTTTATGACCTCTAATAGGATGCAAATTACTTATAAATTGGATTCTTAAAGAGAAATGCATCCAGACTGGGACAATAAGCTCATTAAGCTATGTTCACACCAACAGCGAATGCCACGCTTTAAATCGTCGCGCAAAGCGCTGTCATTTTTGTTTACTTTTCCAAAAATATCATGATCTCCTAACTAATGTTACGCTCTGATTAGCTCTGATACTCTCTGATTTCATTTCGCCGATTTCATTCCACTTTTGATCCAATGACTATATAAAGATGCAGTAGATCTATAAAACCATTGCATCTTTGACAACAAGATTCAGAAATTCCAGATGGACCAGAGTATGACCTATCTTAAGAAGACATGATGTGTCGCACGGCGTGAAAGAGCGTTAGAGAGCGTGAGGAAGCTTGTCAAACTGAACAAAGACTGGGGTCCCCGCTTTGAACCAAGCTCTGTTAAGCTTTCCTACGCTTTGGGTCACACTTTGCTGAGCTTTGTTACGGTTTGTTAAGCTTTGATACGCTCTCGGCGCTTTAATCAATTCGTAACAGAGCGCTCAAAATTTTTAAACAGTTTAAAATTTTTTGGCGCTCTTGCCGAATATCCCGCTTTACTCCGAGCTTTTCTTCAACCTATTACGACCCTGACGCTTTAATCAAGCTTTGTTACGCTTTGGTGCCACTTAACAAGCAGCTTTAAAGCGCCACCAAAGCGCCGTTGGTGTGAACGTAGCTTTAGTGAACATGTAATGCCTGTTTATCACTGTGAACATCTTTAGAAAATCTTTGTTTATTTTGACCCTTGATTGTAACAGTGGTTCTGATTCGCTAGTGATTTAAGGGCAATTTGAAAGTTTGTTTGCACAATCCCAACAATTGTATAGGCTGCACAAAGGGTATGGAAAGAAGTGAAATACCCTTGGACCAAGGATGATGCAATGCAAATCCTGGAAACTCCATACTCATAGCATCTCTCTCCTCAGTAAAACAAAAATGTTAGATATCACATTTTCATGAAATAGTTACCCCAGGTATCGTGATGGTATAGTAACCATAACCTACCCGCATTTTATCATTTTTTCTGAAACTTTACAATTTTAGTTGCAATACTTCAAAGTACAATTTGTGAAAATCTGAAGACACTTGGTGCAAAATTGACAAAATGCCAGAACCAGTCCTGTTACTTTTGGAATACCCAACCTGCGTATTTATACATACATGTACATATAATTTACATTGAAAGTTTAAAGTATCTGCTGACTCTACATTCATCATTACATGTAGAGTTGGAAAATATATTTTTCATTTATTTACTATTTTTCATAACTTTGAAATTTATTTTAGAGATTTTTGAAAAAAATGTTTTGGAAATACGAGTTGTCAGCTTTTCATTTCTCAAATTTCTAATTTCCTGCTAATTTTTAAATTTTGAAATCTTTTAATCATCAAATATTTCACTATACAGTGCAAGAAAATATTTTCTTATATGACTAAAAAAGGTGAAAATATGGCATAATGCAGAGTCATATGAGAAAAACTTTCTTATACTCGCACCTGTGCAACATCGTCCATTCTTGACTCGCTTTGATAATGTTTCTTTATCTCGTCTGTGACTCCACAAAGAAGAATTATCAAAGCTCATCAAGAATGGATCTTGCACAGGGACTCATATAAGAACCTCTATATCTTTTTAACACCATATAAAGATTGAACAACGGACAAACTATGTTAAAATTAAAATGTTATATCTAATGTGCCAATTCAATGATTTAGCATATCAAAAATATTTTCAACCTAAGTGACCACATCGTGACATCACTAAGGTCAACATTTTTCAATGTCAATATTTTCTAAACTTAAAAAAAAACGTTGACTGTCTAACCAGGTTAAAAGGATGAATATATTACGTTTTTAATATTATTTTACCATTGGTTTCTATGAGAAATAAAATTTTGAAATGTATCTTTCCCTGAACCACTTTCATGCATGGATGAGTTTATTGCTCGGTTATCTATCAACCAATTTTCTTAATTTTGTCGGCAAAAAAAACAAGTGAGGATGAATGCTATGCATCGGTGTGAATTATCACTTTAAAGGATAAGTGTGACCTCTAAAAGTTAGTTTTAAATAAATTCACGATATTTTGAACAAAAAGTCCTTCAAAAAACATTTTTGAAATAAATAAAAAGTTTCACATTTCACACTTTGATAACATTGGATAAGACGACAATATAAGCCAAAGTGGTTTAAACTTTATATGGGGCCTTTAACTGATTAATACAATTTTACACTCATTGGAAAGACTGTACTGTGACTGGTTGGACAGAGTTGTATCAATCATACATGTAACTGCATGTCCAGTGGAAAATAGCCAACTCTGATTTTACCAAAGGTTGGAATTTGAATTATTATGCACATGATAGTGGTCAGATAGTGATCTAAAATGCATAGCCCAAACGGGTAAAAAATTACTCGGTTGTTTACTACTATAATGAGATCACGTGATCTTTACGATTATAATGAGTTCCATTACAGTTCGAAATTGAGGTACTTATAGACAAGGAAGTGCAAAACAAGATCGCTGAATAAAATAAAGTCTATACAAGACTTTTAATTATCCCCAAAACTTAGACAATATTTGACTTTTAACAAACGGCGAATTATCGAAAACAAACGGCGATTTCGGACACTCGTCCCCTGCTCTTGAAAGCCCAGTATAAATGTACCTTGAATATTTCATTAAGAATAGACTTCCTCATGCAGTGTACAGTAGAGACCACGGTAGTTCCCGATACCAGTTTATCAGGATTCACAATGATGTAGCCTGATAGGTCATCTATGTGGTATGTATCCATGTTGTCATGGTTACTGAGAATATGGACAACATCGCCATCTTTAACATAGGTGTCTGCCCTGTAAGTATACAATATCATTTGATTTATAAACAGGTTCAATACATTTGGGGAAAGTGGAAATGAAGCCAATTTAGAAGTGCTAGGTGAAATGAATAAAAGAATAGATAATTCATAAGAGATAATTGCTTGATTTACCTTAAATGACCTAGTATACTTAAAAGTCAAATATTTACAATGCTTCTGCATATTCTTTGCCTAATAAATAAGGGTTATGTACTGGGAGGTTTTGGATGTGGGGTTTATCCAGAGGGAGATATGCATATGTACCTGAGGGACCGTAGGGACCGAAGATAGATGTGCATATCGCACGATTGATGAACCCAATATCCAAACTGACCTTACATAACTGCTTTATCCTATACCAGGTAGAGTTTTCTAATTTTCTTTCAATTTTTTTTTATTTTCTCAATTTTTTTACATTTTCATTATTGTTTTCAATTTTTTGAATTTTTTTTCAATTTTTTTTGTCACATTTTTTTCAATTTTTCAATTTTTCTTATTTTTCAAATTTTTTCGAAGCGGGAAGATATGCCCTGGAGCGGGAGATATGGAGGTTCAGGATATGGAAACCTCAAAATCAGGATACGGGATATATCTTACCAACTTATCTCCCTGAAACTCTACCTGGCATAGGATAAGTATTCTTATCTTCAATACACACTAAAACTGATAAAAGGTCATAAAAGCTCTTGCTTCTACAATGAATTATTAATCAGAAGTTTGTAAATGAACCAGAAATACAAAGTACACTGTACAAGTTCAAATGTTATCAAAATATAACTTTAACTTTATAACGAAATATCTATCAAAATATATGAACACTAAGATCCTATGGATGTCTCAAGTGTAAACGCTTCTGTTAAATACTGTACACCTGTATGCAGTATATTTTAAACAATGTTTAGCCGTTTGTTTGGAGCATTAAACAATAAAAATGTGAAAGTATTGTATGTAAATATTTGACCTGAAAGCGATTAAATGATGAGGACATTTCGAAAATGTAAGTTGATTTTAATGAAAATAATTACGATTTTCACAAATATAGGCATTGTGATGAAGCGCACATTCCAGGAAATAATGAAATGAAAGAGACAGCCTTGGATATATTTGATACAGAATTGTATACACAGCCTTGGAAATACAGTAAAACCTACATGTATCTTAACTGAACACCACTGAGACTGGCAAAAGTTGTTTGGATTGGCAGGTGTTCATAATGTTGAGGTTTTGAACGTAGAGGTTTATAGCAAATTTAACAAGGCATTAACATGCAAAAATACCACCACTTGCCATTTGTTACAGATGCTAAATGCGGAACACCAACCATCGAACACAGTTCACAAAAAAAGTTGGAGATTATAACAATGCTATGGTGACATCAAATTTGTTGATTAATTTTAGGTCAGTTCAAGACATCGATAGCAGTTCTTTTAGTTGGACTTACAGGCCTGTACATCATCCACAGAATTGGGCTTTCTCACTCATATTGGCAAACGTACTGGGAGGACCCCAACGGTGAGAGCCAGGATGGTCAGGTCTATGTTCTATTGGTGGGCTACATGAGAGGGGGTACCTCATTGCTGGGTTCAGTGTTTGAGAATGATAAGGAAACTAACTACTGGTTTGAACCAATAGCACCAGTATACAATGGTAGTATAATGTTTTTAAATATTTTATGTACAGCTTTCTGGACTAGAAAAACCTTTCGAAAAAAATTAATAAAGCACTTTGTTAACATATCATTGTGGCCTATTACTCAAAATTCCATCTCGACTAGAGGTCCAATGCCCTTTAGCTTCAGCCTATAAAATCTTAACCAAATCTGTCTACTGGTATTTGAGTTATCATCTGGACAGACAAATGAATGGAAGAAGCCCAGCTCTTTCATTACAATTTCTAACAACTTAATAGGCAAAGCGAATGAAAAAAGAAGCAAAATTACTGGATATTATAATTTTAACATGGAAATTAATAGTTGCAAATTCCTTATAACAATAGGTCATTTTGATAAAAAAACAGAAATAATCATCTGTTGCCTGTATATACAATTAATTCCAGCATTATATGGTTTGAATGGCAATGTGCAATCCCACTATATCATCAACTTTCCAAATGGAACATCCCGTCAACTACCTCATATCGAAATGGAAGCTATCGTCTCTGAGATGAAGAAATTGATGACGTGTGACTTAGAGAATCTCCCGATTGAAGTAATCGTAAGAAAATCGCATAATACAATTGATAAACACAACGAGAAGGTGTGTCATGTTTATACAGATCGGGTGTGTTCTTTTGCTTTTGTCATATAAGGTTTGTTATGACCATTTCAATAGATCACCTATAACTACATGGTTCTGTTTGAACAATATCGATATAAGTATCTTGATTTTAAACTTTATGTATGTATAACATGTATATTTTTACATTAAACTGTGAAAATTATGAAGAATTTCATTAAATATTGGGTCACAATTTTAATCATGTAAATCACCAACAATTTTCATGATGCAGATCTCAACTGATCAGAGTTCACATAAGAGGAGGGAAAATCTCAGAGATGACAGAGATCTCCTGCTTGCCATTTTTGTTTGTTTGGATTTTGTTCCTGGGGTTTTTCCCCCTCTTGGTAACCTGGTCTAACTGGTTTGAGCAGCTTAGAGACAATTTGAAATATGCGACAATTCAGGGTCCTCTCCATAAATAAACAAAATTGTTCAAACATAATACTTCCAATTTATAATAGAATAAAATGTCTGCTCGAGAAGTCACTGACATCCAAGAAATCTTTATTGAAAAATAACAGATGACAGAAAAATCTGGTGAAATAATTAGATAGAATTGAAATAAAAAGATAGCTAAGAATTAAAATGAACAACTTTTGTATTTTAGTTGCTTTCCAATCTCACAAAGTGCATACAAGAGTCAGGGTATAAACACAAGCAGTTGGATGTAAGGCTTAGGTTCTGTAAGAAATATCTAGCACAGACACGGAAATCTAGCTGCAGATGGGAGGCTTTCCCAAACAAGTTAGTATGTTTCGATAACATTTCATCTCTTGTTATTACACAAACAATTCTGACTTAGTAATCTTACTCAGCCACCTCATAACAGTTTCTTTAATTTCAGATATACTCCATTCAAGAGGTACCCCATCATATTGAAATATGCTTCTATGATTCACTAATGTTTCATCTCTTTTTAATAAATTCTTTACAATGCATCATAAAAAGTTTTTATAATGTGTTGCATAGAATTGTACATATGTTATAATTCATCATCAGCGTTTTCTTTGACCATTTCAGATAATGTAGGGCAGTAAAACTAATGTCAAGTGAAACGCCTCCCTAAGTGGAACACCTCCACAAGTGGAACTTATTTCCAAGTCCCATTATCCATTAACCTAATAAAAAAGAGCATCTATAAATAGTGAGAAACTCAGAAAACACAATTCTCATGATCCTCATTCATGATTCTCATATCTCATGATCTTTACTTCCAATAGGTTTACGGAAGAGTGCATAGATCCCTTCTACGGCAGTAACAGAGACCTCAAGTCCGTTCAAAATAAATTTCTTGGTAACCCATCAGAGGTGGATTTGGCCTGGGATCTCAAGATGTATGGAGAATGTTTAGAAGACCTAAAAGTGGGAATTCAAAAGTGTCTAAAAAAGCAGAAATCCTCAGAAGAATGTAAAAGTCAAAAATTCCAGGTTGTCAAGACAGTCAGGTTGACGTTAGGAATGGCCAGGGAAATACTCAAGGTCATACCAACAGTCAAGGTCATCCACATTTTACGGGATCCAAGAGGTAACTTTTTTCATTGTTCTAATTCAAAATGGATTAAGATATTTGGTCATACAGAAAGAATAAACACAGAAAGAATTGGTGAAGTATATCCATTAAGCCATGCCATAATATAAAATCTGGATGTGATATCTTCTGGATATCATACATTTCGCTTCATACATACTAAATCAATCATGCTTCTGTTGTTCTAAAATCGATCCATAGTTTTCAGATTTTTTTCGATAATGATGAGATGAGAGAATGCAAAGTGGATCCAAACTTGTAGTGACACACTCTATCATGGTGAATTAACAAGTTCAAATGAACAATGACAACACATAACGATTACGACTAAAGAAATCTTACTCTCGCCAACTCAAAATAGTTTCTTTAATTCCAGGTATACTCCACTCAAGAGGTAACTTTCATGGACCAGAACACATTCAATTCTCCAGAGGAGACATAGGCCTATCTGCTAAACAACTCTGTGAAAGAATGGCAGATGATAATATCCAAGGAAACAAACTGAGATCTCAATACCCCGGGCAGTTTATGGAAATCAAATATGAAGATTTTGTCGATAAACCTCAACATTGGATGAAAAGACTTTATGATTTTATAGGAAAGAATATACCAAGTGGCTTAGTTGAGACTATAAAAGATCAAATATCAGGAAATTGTACCAAATCGAATAAAACACACACTGATGAATATTTTGGGGTATGTCGACAATCTGGACGTGATAACATCGAAGGATGGCAGAATTTAACAAAGGATCACATAGAAGCCATTGACAAACATTGTCTGGAAATAAGTGTAGAGAAAGGTTACCATAAATCAGTAAAATACTGAAATGTGCAAGAGACATACCACCATGTTGCACTGAAGCAGATCTGCTGTTGTAGCTCACATTGAAATTGGTCAAAATAAACCCATTTTTAATGATTTTTCTCATTTTCAAGTGGGTGCAAATGAATTTTCAGGTGGGTGCAAGCCTGGTTTTAAAACTTCAGGTGGGTGCTGCACCCACTTGCTTTAATGCTGGGGAGATCACTGACATATAGGTTTGAAGCTGTTTTAGTGAGCACCTCTCTCAACAGTTAATATCTGTGTCTAGAGAACACTTCTTCGCAGAACATACACCACTGACCTCTGTATAAGATCATGCCTCTGTAGTGAACACTTACCTACAGTGAACACATTTTTGTGCCTCCATAGGTGTTCACTATACACAGGTTTTACTATACTATAGGTGTTTCCCAAAGATGTAATCTGTAATTGTTTTACTTACCAGAAACCAGAGAGGATGCATGTTCTTTGTGTTTTCTCGGGTACAGACTCTAGAGATAGGAATATCTGACTTCGGTTTCTGTAATACAAAGTATGAGAAGGATTACTAAAATAACAGAGATTTTTGTTAACATTTGCGGGTATTTGAATTATAATAAACACGCAATACACAAGTGCCAAAAAATCAAATATATTACAAGAACACAAATGTGTACAATATGTCCCCACCAATGGGTGATCCCATGAAATGGTTATCCTGAAAATGAGCAGACAAGACTTTACTGACACAATTTGAGGACGGAAAGTCCAAAATGGCCGCCTTAAAATTTACCCAGAATCCAAAACAATTAGCTAGTTCTAGATTTCATACTAAGAACCACCCCTGAAAATTTGAAATTGATCCGTCAAACAGTTAAACAAGACTTTACAGACAAGATTTTAGGATGGAAAATCCAAAATGGCAGCCTTGACATTTACCCAGAATGTCAAAAAACTAATCAGTTCTAGATTTTCATACTAAGAATCATCCCTGAAAATTTGAAATTGATCTACCAAACGGTTCACCTGAAAACGCGTAGACAAGACTTTACAGACAAGATTTTAGGACAGAAAATCCAAAATGGCTGCCTTGACATTTACCCAGAATGCCAAAAAACTAATCAGATCTAGGTTTTCATACTAAGAATCATCCCTGAAAATTTGAAATTGATCTAACAAACGGTTCACCTGGAAATGCGTAGACAAGACTTTACAGACAAGATTTTAAGACGGAAAATCCAAAATGGCTGCCTTGACATTTACCCAGAACGCCAAAAAAACTAATCAGATCTAGATTTTCATACTAAGAATCATCCCTGAAAATTTGAAATTGATCTACCAAACAGTTCACCTGGAAATGCGTAGACAAGACTTTACAGACAAGATTTTAGGACGGAAAATCCAAAATGGCTACCTTGACATTTACCCAGAACGCCAAAAAACTAATCAGATCTAGATTTTCATACTTAGATTCATCCCTGAAAATTTGAAATTGATCTACCAAACGGTTCACCTGAAAACGTGTAGACAAGACTTTACAGACAAGATTTTAGGACGGAAAAAACCAAAATGGCCGACAATAAAAAAATGTGATTACGAGTTTTTGCTGATTTCCTTTTACAAAATTATCACATATAACTACTGTTAACAATAACATAGGCTTTTTCAACAAAGTACACCTGGAATTATTTATAAAGCTACTAAATAGTTAAAGTATGAAAACTCAAAAACACCATTCAATATGATACAAAGTATTATCGCGCGCTAACTTTTCTTCAGACATTCAAAATGGCTGACATGACTGGGCTAACAGGTCCAAAACCTAATCAGATGTAGAATGAAGTGAGCTGAACAAGATGTTAAAGTTTTAAAAGCAACTGTGAAGCCGTTTTTCTTAAAGTTTGCAGACAAGGATTTTAGCATTTGACCTCAAAATGGCCGACAGGAAGTAGCTATCAAGTTAATTTTTTTTCATCCACATCTGTATGCACTCACAAGTTATTCCTGAAAATTTGAAGGTGATAGCTGTAGCGGTTTTGGAGAAAACTGCCGGACGTACGGACGGACAGACAGACAACCAGACAGACAGACAGACGGACGGACGGACGCGCCTAGGACGACAATATGGCCCCACACTATGTGGTGGGGACATAACAAAACAGAGAAAACAAAGAAACAAGGCATTAACATGCAAAATTTCACCACCTGGCATTTGTTACAAACACCAAACACCAACTGCTGAACACTGTCCAGAAAAAAGTTGGAGACTATAACAACAATATGTCAACACTTCTGGTCATGGCATAAAAATCCAAGAACACAACCAGCTATAAGGAAAACAAACCTACACTAGCCCACACTTTGATCTTACCAAAATAATACCATTCCAAGATATTTTGAAATGCTTGACTGGAGAATAATATTCAAGAAAATGCAATTATAGTATTGATGAACATTGTGGTACATTGATCAAATGGTTGTAACATCTTTCATGATTCTAATGCCATACGTCCCTAAAGAAAAGACCTCTGGTTTTAAGTTTTGGCATCCAATTGACACCCATGTTAATCATAACACTACTCACTCTATACAGTGTGTCCCAAAAAAAGGAAACCAGCAATATATTGCTTATTTCTCAAATATGAATAATAATAGGAAATGAGTTTGTACCACTTTCAGCCAAGTCAATCTCACCATCATAACAAAGTGATAAGTAACAACAAACATCAGGATATCACTCTTATACTCATTTATTCCAATTAAAATTACACATATCATATTTAACACCCCTTTTAAATCCCAATGTCCATTCAAAGTTGTTTTAACCCCACAAAACTCATTTCTGACATGGTCACTTAAATCCCTTATAACTCGGTCATCCGTGAAGGAAAATAGACAACTTTGGTATCATAAGAAAGAGGACATCATAATTTATCAGATGGTAGGTGTGAAATTTTCCTATCATTCTTCATATTTGAGAAATAAGCAATCTATTGCTGGTTTCCTTTTTTTGGGACACCCTGTATTACAGATACTGTCAAATTATCGGCAGTTATGGAAGAATGAAATTAAAGGCACATTGTAACATACAGCCAACAAAATGGTTCAAAATTGTTTTTAAAATATAGACTGAGGATTGAAAGGTGTTTACAACACCGTTAAGCTTATCTTTATTATGAAAGACCGGAAGTGTATTTTTGAGTTGAGTAAATGGTGAATGTTGTTTTTATGAAGCAGGGAAGTCAAAACATTACAAATAGAAATCATAGTAAGCATTTGAAGATCATTAAGAAGCATTTAAAATCGAATCCATGGCAAAATTTGAAATAATCAAAATATTCCACGCAGACCTCAGAGAAAACACTTCAGGTTTAAAGATCCATGATTTTATCGATCAAAAAATATTTTTATGATTTTTTTTCGATATCTGTTGAAATATGGTATACTTGTGTTGATTGTTAAATTACAAAATAGGTAAGGTAAATAATATGTAAAAGTTGTTTGATCTTGTCCCAGAAGCAATATTTTGTTATTTTTATCACCTGGAATTCCTTTAATTTTGGTAGGGGGAGGGTAGGGAGTAAATGCTATAAATTCTTTTGAGATGAGTGCTGATTTTTTGAATACTCAAGTGAAAAGACAAATCAACAAATAAAAATGTCGTTATATTTGAGAAGACCAGGAGGAAAACCATTTAACAAAATTAATTTTGTTTTTCTACAACTGTTTATGATTGAACAACACCCCTGTACACTTACTTTGAATGCTCCACTTTAATGACATTGTGTCGTCCAAACTCTGAACAAGGAGGAAGCTCCTCGACTTTTTTCCTGAAATATTTGCAATAATCTCAATATATTTGTAAGCAGACAAGAAAGTGTTATGCAACTAAAACATGGCAAAAATTTGTGTTTGTTGTTGTACAATGAATATAACATGAGGGGGGACTTCAACCTTTTGCCTGAAATATTTGCAATAATCTCAGTATTTTTGTGAGACACAGAAAATGTGTCTTCAACTATAACTTGGCAAAAATATGTGTTTGTTGTAAATAGGTAATGAATATAAAACACGGGGAAGCTCTTGAACCTTTTGCCTGAAATATTTGCAATAATCTCAATATATTTGTAATATAAGACATAGAAAAAGTGTGTCAACTATACCTTATAGCAAAAATTAGTGCTTGTTGTTTAGGGCATCAGATATAAAAGCATGTGTTTCTGTCCTGATCTTGTTTACATGTCTTAAATTACAAATGATATTCCCAAGAAGCAGGTGAAAATGACATCACATCACAGAATGTAATCAGTTTTGACTGCAAACATGAGATGTGAAATAACTTTTTTATTCAAAAGACATTCATCTCATAAAATAGGGGTGAATTTCAACCTCAATTGGAATGTTATCACAAATATGACCTCCTTATCTATCTTATAATGTAATAATTTAAGAAATTACCTTTTAACTGGTGATAAATCCACCTCAAAGTCAATATCAGAAAGATTTAATTGATTCAACAAGGAATCCTCAAGGTCAGCATGCCCTAGTTGTTCATCTAACAAGGCGTTATCTTTTCTATCATCTTTGAAGTTAATGTCACTGTTCAGTTTTGAACTTTGATCAACTTCACTGTTCTTTTTATCATCACTTTTGGCACATTCAGTAGAAACGGGTGATTCACTCAGAGAAAGTTTTCTTTCTTTCGGACTAGTCCTAAGATTATTTGTAATATTTTCCTGACTTTTTCGTTTTATATATTTATTAGTTGTTGGAGTTTTAGGAAGATTGTACTGGTTGATACGTGGTTTCTGTTTTTGTGATTGCGGAGTTAATTGTCTGATCTCATCTAAGATATCATTTAAGAGATCTTGACTATCTTGATCTTGACTTTGATCTGTTTCCATGGCAACTGGATCATCTGTAACATAATCTATAGCCACAGGGGATTCCATTGGTTTTCTGATCTCTTTTAGTTTTGTTGTTTTGAATTTGGGTTCATTTATATTTGGTAGATTTTCATTGTCATCATCTTTCATTTCATTAAGAATATCATTCAATACTTCATCTTGATCATTGGTTACATCAGTGGTATTTTCATGGAGACGTCTTTTTATTTTTGTATCTGATTTTGCGGCACGAGATTTCAGGTCAGATTTTCTACGATCTGGTCTTTTGGGGTTTGGAGACTCGCCTTTTGACGATGTCCTCTTTCGATGCTTTGAACCTAATACTGCTGCTGCCCCCTTGTGGGGAGAGTTTGCTATTGAATGTGGTGCTGCCATCTGTTGAGTGTTTTTTCCAGCAGACGGATTTGATGGCCTAACATCAAGGCAGTTTGTTAAAGCTCTGATGTAATCACTGGATGCAGTTTCTAATGACCCTTGTTCTGACTCAGCCTTCTTTTGCATTGCATCTTCAAAACTCTGACTTTTAACACCTGGTTTGACTTTTGAGATCAACTTTTTCTTTGAGGTAACATTTTTGTTCATTTTGGTTGAAAATGATGACATTATTGATACAGATGGCAGGAAGCTTCGACTCGGTGGAAGTTTTTTGGCAGGAATCGTATCAGACTCTGGGGTATCAGGAATTCCGGGAAGTCTTGCATCTGGGGTAGGGGGTATCATACCATCAGGTGATTTGGCATTGTTTAAATCCGTATCAATTATACCCTTAGAGGGAGTGACCTCAACCACATCCCTTACGTCTCTAGTCGGGGTTTTAAAGCCCTCAGGGTCATTATTCTGATTCATATTAATCCTTTGTGGAGTCTGTTTTGCTGTTGTCACTTTTTGAAAAGTAGGACTTTTAGCAATAAAATCATCTAAATCATCCTGTTGTGTTTCTGGTACTACTGTGATATCCTTAGAGGTGGAAATAGATGATTGTTTAGACATCAGGGATTCATTAGATTTATTTGGCTTTGATGTATCTAATCCAGAAGTCCTAGTTCCACCAATTGAGGAAAACAATGCACTCTCTGTAGGTTTTGCTGGCTTTCCCTGAAAATAAATAGGAATTACATACACGGAATCAGTGTAAATTTTTAATGAATTTAAATGAATGAATCAATTTACCTTGAACATTAACAACCATTTGAAACAAGTAATCATAAAGTTATAACAAGGCATTAACATGCAAAACGTCACCACCTGTCATTTGTTTCAGACACCAAATGCCGAACACCATTCATTAAAAAGTGGAAATTATAACTATATGACATTATCACTTGTGACGGTGATATGAAAATAATACAACATTTTGAGAAAGCCTTTCTTCATGTGATGCTTGGGTCACATTTCCCTCGATCCATCGGCCGGCGCCTGCCCGATTGAGTGTTTTGTTCAATATCGTATCCAATTTTGAACAAAATACTCAATCGCCCAGGTGCTGTAGTGAAGATCAGAGCAAATGTGACCAAGGCATAAGCAACATCCTACATGTAAGTTCAACGATTTCAGAGATCTGAACCATCAGTCAAGCAGTATTTGGGTTAATCTCTGGACGGAAAGACAGATGCCTTTTCGATATCCCTACATGGATGGATGGAGTGGGCAATTCAATAGGCTAAGCATGTAAACCACAAATAGAACAGAATGATTGAGCCCATATTTGAACATGCTTGAGGTAGATATATCATATTTGCCTCGGGATAATCCCAATATCTCGAACCTCATATGGGATAATCTCTGTTTATCCTAGTAAATTTCCTTATTGTTGAGTGACATACCTGAAAGAATGCCGATATTTTCCTTTGTGCAGTGCCAGGTGGAGGCTTAAAACAAAAGGAAAAAATGTAGTACATAATATACAAATATGTAAACCCCCATAATGTGTTACAGATTCTAAATACAGGGTGTCCACAAAAATTGAAGTACATAATATACAGAGATGCATCTACAGTATATGTTACAGATTCATTATACATGGTGTCAATAAAGTCTCTACACTTGACAGAGGCTTTGCATTGGAATTGTAAAGAGACTTTATGGACACCCTGTACTTTTATGAAAATGTGTTAATTTGGCTGAATTTTCATTTTGCCCCTCCTATTCTTGATCCAAGCTACACTACACCTTTATCTATCATTTGATATTTAACAAAACATTTAGTTTAATTCAATTTTCATTTATAAATGGAAAAAGTTCACTTGATTTATTGCTAATTTTCTATTGATTTGATAAATCATTGCTGAGTACTCAAGATATTGGTGAGTCTATGTTTTTTTATCTGACCACTTTATGATAAATATTGTATTTTAGAGCAGTGATCTCAACATTAAAGCAAGTGGGCACAGAACCCACCTGAGATTTTTAAACAGACTTGCACCCACATGAAATCCATTTGCACCCACTTGAAAATGAGAAAATCATGAAAAATTGGCATATTTTGACCAATTTTGGTCTGAGTCATGAAAATGAGAATTTTGCACCCACATGTGAAAAATTCCTGTGGAGAACACTTTAGAGTATCCTTCACTTACCTGAAGCTTCTTAGATTTTCCCATTTTGAAGATACAAGTTAACCTTTACTAGCCTAGGTCAGGTTTTAGATATTAACTCTCAAGTGTCCAAACTTTATGTTTCAGCTTCATCTTCCTTAACACAGGATTCCTTCATGAACTGCAAATAAAACAAATATTCATTTGACTTAAATCGAAAATACTATTTTTCAAATTGTTAATGTCTTTACAGCAAAGAAGGATTGTCAATAGCCAAGCTAGGTTTTAGAATCAATACTGTTAATGAAGTAAATCAAAATCTTGTTTGAGGGAAAGGAGGCAAACATAATGAAGTGAACTTCATTTTTCCTTAGAATGAAATCAATGACTTTGATTATGTTGCGAGTTGTTGCAAATATAGAGTCAGTGGAAATTACCAAACATAGGTAGACAAGGCATTAACATGCAAAATGTTACCACCATTTGTTACAGACACCAACTGCCGATTGCAAACTGCCAACCACAAAACGCTGTGACAAAAAACGGAGACCATAACAATGTCACCACTTTTTAGTGGTGACATAAAAACAGACACATGTAAAAGCAATGCAGAAAAGAAAATGTTAATTTATCTTGATTCAGAATGAC